GGTGGGAGCCGTAACGCAGACGGTAGTCTTCGAGGGTCACAATCTCGTGATCAGGCTCAGGGACGCGGTTGAGCGCCCGACCATCACCGTACGTGTTTTCGCCAGCCACCTTCTGACCGTCACCACGAGCCTCGTAGATGTAGTCGCCGACGTGGACAAAGTAGTCGGCGTTCTTGCGGGCGGCAGCCGCACGGTAGGCGTTGAAGTAGCCAAAGGGCAGGTTGGAGCACGAGAAGACGGCAAGCTTGAGCGAGTCGACCTCGTCATCGTTGTAGTCCGGGATGGACTTGAAGCTGCCGACGGGCGAGACGACCGAGTTGTCGTGGCACGAGAAGAAGCGGTAGTAGTACTGCGTCTTGGGCTGCAGACCGGACGTCTCGACCTTGAACGAGTAGTCGACCTCGCTGGTAGTCCAAGCGTAGCTGTCGTCGACCAAGTTGGCCTTGGACCAGTCGCTCTCGCTGCGCGAGGTCTGGTAGCGCAGGCAGACGGGGAGGGTGGTGTTGGCATCCTCGGGCACGGGATGCGTCCAGAGGATGGCCGAGTCCGGGTACGGGTCACCTGCAGCCACGCCGTAGGGGAAGCTGACCTTGCCCTTGTACGCGTCGCGGCCGTCGGAGCCGTAGTCGCCATCGTACTTTTCGACGAGGAAGTCGGCTTCGGTCTTGCCCTTGGCGTTGTTCCTCCTAGCCTTGCCCTCGACCTTGGAGGTGACGTAGTCGTCGTAGGCACGCTTGCGGATCTGGGCGCCAATGTGCTCGATGTCGTGGCCGAGTCCGTCGCCGTTGCTGAGCGAGAGCGAGGGCGAGCGGTAGGCAAGGTTGCGCTCGAGCGGGGCGAGCGCCGACACCGACACGCTGAGCGCGGTGACGAGCGCCGCGAAGGGGGCGACAATGTTCTTCATGGTCGAACTTGCTGGGATGCGGGTGCTGGACGGTCGACGTCAAGATCGGAGCAGGTACCACAGCCTTTATATATATGCGGGTACGAACAGTGCAAGATCTGGTCTGTGCCCCGGAAGACCTGGCTCTTCGCACGCTCGACCATTGATGGCAGAGCATGCGAGCCACCTAGGAGGGTGGCACACGGGCAGATCTCCTCGTTCAGTGGCACCGGAGGGAGACCCGGAGCGCCATTCAAGCTAGACCACGTTGGGCTCGGTTGCAGGTCTTCTCAGACAAGAAGACAGTTAGCGAGCCTCGAGGAAACCTTTGGGAACATTTTTGTGAATTGGCCGGCTATCCACTTATTCCTCGCCCGGCGCCTATGATTAAGAAGAGGCAGCTGAAGCCGCGCAGGGCAGCGACCGGCCCGACGCGGGCATCTGACCGTTGCGTAGTGCGGGCGAACGTGTACTCGTCGACAGGCGTGGCATTCGTCGACAGCGCTTGGCTGGGCTTGGCGTTTTGAGGGTCGAAGCCTCCCAAGCAGGGAGGTGGGGGGAACTTGGCTGTTGCAATGCGCCCCTTCTGATTCGTGCGCTGACGGACAGCCGTCGAGATTGCAATGCGCTGATGCAGCTATGCCTACGGCCAGTCAAGAACCGCAGAGTGTGGAGCAAGTTTCTCCTGCCCTCCCTCGCTCTCACGGGCATTTCCTTGGAGACGCCTTTTTTAATTTCTTTTTTTATCAACAATTCTCGCGCAGCAGTGGTCGCCAACCGAACCCTCATCGAGGCTAAGCGAGGTTAGAACGTGGACAGGTGTGCGTAGTGCTGCGTCTGTGCGTTGCGCTTTTCGATCCGTCGGTGGGCGAAGACGGTTCACGCCATCGTCACCTTTCTAGCAACAACAACACGCTGACCATGCCAGCCGATCCGGTGGAGACGAGCCGCTAGGAACGTGCGCTCGCTCCAATGATCATTAGGGTCCGGCTCTGTGCATGGTCGCCTCATTTCGATACTTTAACGGCTCAACCTCTTCCGACTAGCTCAGCTGCACGAGATCATCATGAATGGAATCGATTCAACAGATCGGTTGCAAAAGCAAACCCGTTCAGGCGGAAAGGCCGAGACGGCCGAGCATGTCGCTCCTGTTGACACCGGGAAGCTTGACCTTGAAGACAAAGAGCTGCGTGGGCACGTCCTGCGGGTAGGCGGCCGAGTAGGCGCCAGTGGCTCTCATGTAGCCGTCCTTGGTCTGGAAGTCGTTGTCGCTGAGCGAGAGGAGGTAGTACTCATCAGGGTCGAAGCTGCTGTCGTTGTCCGACGCCGGCAGCGTAGGCAGCAGGATGAGGCTCTCGATCTTGGCGGCGAGAAGCGTGGGGTCGACGGGGCTGCCCGAGCTGTGCATGCCAAATTTGGACAGGTCGGAGGTGTAATCGACGAGGCTCGAGTAGGCGGCGAGGTTGATGCCGCTGGCGAGCTTGCCTCCGGGGGCGATGGCGCCCGTAGCGCTGTCGTACTTGGTGCCGGCGAGGTTGGTGGCGGTGGAGAGGTCGAGGATGTCGATGCGCTTGTAGTTGACGCCGCTGTCGTCGCTGCCAAAGCCGTTGCCGTCGCGCACGAGGATGCCGACGGTCTTGTGGCCGAGGTAGATGAGGTCGTTGACGTTGCGCGCCTTGCCCTTGGACGAGGTGGGCACCTTGAACGCGTATTCTGCGATGAGCTTGACGCCGTCGCCTGGGTTGGCGCCGCCCTGGTACGTGGTGACGCCCGAGAGCGACGAGATGTCCCACTCAAAGATGCGCACGTACGGAGCGCCGTCGCCGCCGTCCTGGACCAAAGCCGACTGCAGCACGCCGAAGAGCTGTTTGCCATCCCACGACACGGCCATGCCCTCGAAACCGGCGTTGGGGCTGCGGCCCGAATCGGGTGTTGCCTTGGAGGTGAAGTTGTACTTGCCGTTGATGCGCGGCAGCACAGCCTCGGGCGGCGTGATGTAGGCGATGATGCTTCCGTCGGCAGCCACCTTGTAGATGCCAGGCGTGTACTCCTCCGAGACCCAGAAGGTGCCGTCGGGGTTGGCCGAGAAGCCTTCAGTGTCGAAGGAGAGAGCGAGCGACGACTTGGGCGTGTTGGCGGCGCCGAGAGGTCCGTCGGAGGAGCTGGAGCCGCTCAGCCCACCCGTCCTGGCTGCAGTGGGATCCAGGCCGGTGGTGTTCTTGCCATTGGTCTCGTGGTAGAAGAGCGAGTCGCGGTAGGTGATGTTGAAGAGCTTGCTCGCCTGGCTAAAGGCGAGATTGGAAGAGCCAGTGTACTCGGAGAACTGGAAGTCAAACGTGTGGTGACGAGCGACGTAGTCAATCGTGGTCTCGACGTTGTAGCCGCGGTCGGGCTGGAGGTAGAGCTGACCCGAGTAGGTGTTTCCGCTGCGCGAGAACTTGCCGGGCACGAGGCCGCCTGCCGATCCGATGCCGCCGATGGTCTCGCCATTCTTGTCGCGGAGACTCGCCGAGTACTGGCCGATTGCGACGAGGCCCTCGGAGCTGAAGTCGGCGGGGTCGACGCCACTGCCACGCTTGGCGATGGCCGCGCCCGAGGCTGAGCCCAGTAAAGTCGAAGCGAGCGGTAAAGCTAAGAAGAGCTTGGAGAGCATCGTGAGTGGGTGGTGGAGGGGAAGTGGGTGACCTGCATGCTTGCGAGTGGATCCAAGCTTGGCCTTTATGGTGTCCCGCAGCTAGCCCCGCAAGCCTCTTTCAGCTTCATATGCTGGCCTCGACAACACTCTGCTGTTGCCGCCGATGGGAGTCAAAGTGCACAAAGGCTGCCCTTCTACTTTTGACAGCGCGGTCGGAGTTGCGCCCTGTTCTTCTAGTCTTCTCGCTTAGGCGGAGATGGGCACGTTCCATGCAAGAGCCGCCGCCAGATCCGCACTTCCGCAGCGGGTCATCCAGAAATCCGTGCTTTCAGTCAAATTTAATCTCATTGGTAGCCGCCCAGCTGCAGGCAATCCACAGGCGCCATTCATCGCTCCAACTCTTTCAGGCACCACTCCAGACTCGCTCGCCCGGAACGACGAGCGGCAACAGCCAGACCTACAAGGCTCTTGACTCGAGAACGGCGTCGGCAACGTGGCAACGCTGAGCAGAAGGTTTGGTGTGGCTGTGGTGAGCCTGTCAGCATCGATGGTCGGTGTCCGAATCCCGAAGAAAAAGTTGAGTGGGCAACCTCCACATTTTGGAAGCGCCGAAGCTGATGATGTCGGGGCTACGATAGCAAATGCTCGACCCTAGCGACCACCTTTCCCGTCCCGAGGTGCTCAACAGACGACCAATAGAGCAAGCGATCAGCTGTAAGGCTCATTGCTACAGACCAACATGGACACCGTCGTGGCGGGAGCGCTGGCCGCGTTCACTGTGGACCTGCTCATCTATCCGCTCGACACGCTCAAGACGCGTCTGCAAGCGCCGGACTCTGCCACTCGCTTTCCCGCCGGCCGCGGCCTGTACAGCGGCCTCTACCAGGGTGTCGGCAGCGTCATCTTTGCCACGCTGCCTGCAGCTGGACTCTTCTTCACTACTTACGAGCATTCGAAGAGCCTGTTGGCATCGTCCAGCTCGCCGCTTGCCAATGCACCGCCCGCCTTGTCGCACATGCTCGCCAGCTCGACCGCAGAGCTTGTCTCGTGTCTCGTACTGACGCCGGCCGAGATCATCAAGCAGAGGGCGCAGGTGGTCAACAAGCAGCAGCAAAAATCAAATTCATCTTGTTCGCAAGCGAAAGCGTCCACGTTATCCTCCTCGTCCGCAGCAACCGCAGTATCCGCAGCCAAGCAGACGGTGCAGCAGACCAGTCCTGGTGACTCCAAAGTGCAAATCGCCAAGGAGACGGTCAAGAATACCGTGGACAAGGTTACGAGGCAAGCGTCACCAGGCAGTGCCGCCTCTACCGCAAGAAACATCGTGCTCGATGCCCAAGAGAAACTGCAACAGTCTGCCACTGGCAGATCAGACGCCTCTTCAAAAGGCCTAGCCACCGTCCGAACCGCTGCCGCGCCGCTGGGTTCGACTTTCACCCGTTCCTATCTTGCTCTGGCCGGAAGAAATCTTCCCTTCACCGCGCTTCAGTTCCCGATATACGAGTCTCTCCGCGAAACCTTTGGCGCCTGGGCAGGACTCAAGGCAGGAACACACAAGGAAGACGGCGGCGTCGACGACGTTCGCACCTCCGAAGACTTTCGCCGCCAAGCTGCACGCGACCAGACCAGCGTCGCAGCCGAGTTCGGCAAGGCCGGATTGGTGGCGGGCGGCTCGGCGGCCGTAGCCGGCTCGTTCGCGGCGGTCGTCACTACGCCCATCGACGTGGCCAAGACGCGCATCATGCTAGACACTGGCGAGCAGGCAGGCAAGCAGCAACTCGGTGTGCTTGCCACCATGCGTCAAATCGCGCTCAAAGAAGGTTGGAAAGCACTCATGAAGGGCGGCGCACTCAGAGGCGCATGGACAGCCCTCGGTGCAGGCGTATATCTCGGCAGCTACGAGGCTGGCAGGCTGTGGTGGAGAGACAGGCAGCGTCATGCCAACAATGCTTGAATCAAAGACGAATTGCTTGAATCATGTGTAAGTTGTGAGTGCGGGATTATGAGGTGTGAAGCGGAGCAGCGGCTGCCATTCGAAGTGTGGAGAAAGCGTTGAAATTCCCGCTACGCTGTCAAGAGGACCCTGCTTCGAGCGGCAACCCATACTTCCGTCCTCACATCCACATTGGTACGCCGCCGCCGACGCTCAGCAGCATCTCGGTCGACATGCTTCTATCTCAGCTTCACCAGTCCAGTCGCCTTTAGCTCTTACGAGCATAGTCGCGGCGACACATCAAACAACGCCAGGGACCGCGGCGTCTTGCCCTTGCACAAGGCCGGCACTGCTCACGATGCCGTCTTCGGTGGCAAGTCACACAATCCCGTCGTTCTATGCATGCTACTTTCTGCGCTCGCTCTCGTGTCCCGGCATCACCTACATCGGATCCACGCCTGCTCCGCCCCGGCGCAAGCGGCAGCACAATGGCGACCTCACGCAGGGCGCATGGAAGACGGCGCGCTCGCGGCCGTGGGAGATGGAATGCATCGTCTACGGCTTCAGCTCCAAGATCGCCGCGCTCCAGTTCGAGTGGGCGTGGGCCAAACCGCATCTTTCTCGCCACCTCAAGTTTCTCGCCGCGGAGTGTTCTGCCTCCGGGGTGCGCACCGACACAACCGCGCTGGTCGGAATGCCTCTCTTCCCATCTTCTAGCATGACGCCGGGTCAAACCAAGTGGGGAAAGCCGAAACGACGCATCGCACGTGCGCCTGCCAGCCCGAATGCAAGGCTGCTCGCCATGCGCGCGCTGCTACGATCAGAGCCGTTCTGCGGATGGGGTCTCAAGCTTGCCTTCTTTACCGAATGGAGCTGGCTCGCGTATCAGAGACTCGAACGACAAGCGCTTGCCGACAACGCATCAGGATGTGATGCGATCCTTCAGCCACTGTTGCGGTTTAGTAGGTCCGGCAAGCCTTTGCATCCGATGTATCCTGTGGCGCTGTGCGACTTCAGCGGTGTAGACGGTAAGCGCGTGCCGCTCGTGCATGTTTCGGCGGAGCATCGTGCAGGCGCCGGCGTCGCCGCTGAGCCCGTCAAGAAGCGGGCCTCGAGTGCTAAAGCTGCGGCCGCGAGTGCCGAGGGCGGGTGGTCAGAGACGCTGCCTAAGGGCGCCACTCTGAAATCGCTCGACGCGTGCATACAGGACTTTGCAGAGTTTCCCATGCCGCCGACGTCGCTGGAAAGCACCGACCTGACGGTCAAAGCCAAGCGCGTGACCAAGGCCAGTAAAGCAAAGGCAATCGACGATGAGCAAGACTCGGATCTGGCCGTGGATCTGGAGGACGACACAAGCGCAGAAGCGGCTCCGATTGAAGGGGCCACGGCGTCCGACAGGATCCTGCATCGGATGCTGTTCGTCGATCTGGATGCGGAGGAAGTCGAGTGGAGACACTTCGAGGCATCGCTCTCAGTCCACCTTGCGACCACATCGGGAGCGTCGACTGGGGAAGCAGCGAGCGACTACATGCAGACGTGCGTGCAGCGGCACATTGCAGCTCAGGACGCGCGCACGATCAACGATGCCCTCCCTGCTCCCACCGCGCCCTGTGCGCTGTGCCACGAGCCAGTCGACCTTACGCGCCATCTCGACTTTGCACTCTGTCCCCACCCGACCTCGAGCACGGCGCCAGTCATGTCAACGACAGCGGCAGCGCCGTCTCGTGGTGAAGCGGAGCGGTGCAACTTGGTATACCATCTGTCATGCCTGGCCAACTCGTTTCTCGAGCAGCAAAGTGCCGTTGCGCCACAGGATGCAGATGCGGCGAGCAGCAGAAACACGGTTCTGCCCACGCACGGCGCATGTCCATGCCACCCGCCCGAGCGCGCAGACGGCGAATATGGACGTATCGACAGTATGGCGTTGTGGGCTGATGTGGTGCGCGGCATGTACCGCCGGTCGGAACGGTTTGAGCGGCTACTGCAGCTGCTCGTTCGCTCGGGCCGAACGCTGGCGGACCTGCGCAATCCAGAGGCCGTCGCCAAGCCAACGCGCGCCAAGAAAGGCGCCAAAGCGAGCGAGGATACAGTCGCCGCTGGCAAGGCAGAGCAAAAGGGCAAGAAGCGCAAACCACGCAAGCCGACCACCGAAGAAGCAGATGCGGGTTCGGCAGAAGCTCCACCTACCGAGAAAGCTGCGCGCAAGAAGCCCGGCCGCAAGAAGGCACTGCCACCCGTCGAGGTGATCGATCTCACGTGACCATACAAGCTACTAGACGAGATCAGACGATCTCAACACATTCTGCATCCATGCAGCACTCTTAGAAGCTGCGAATCAACTTCATTCTTGTCTTGGCGTGGAGTGTAGGTCAGAGCTCGTCTTTGGCGCCACCAAAGAGACTGCCTATGGGGCTCTTTGCCGTCTTTCTGGCCTTGGCCTTTGGCTGTGCGACCTTGCCCTTGTCCTGGAGGCTGTTTCCCCTAGTCAGCAGATTCATAAACTCGTAGATGAGGTCGCTGGCCGCATATGCCGTGATCTCGGCCTGGTCATAGGCAGGGCTGACTTCGACCAGATCAAAGCCGACAAAGTTAAGCCCCTCGAGACCCCTCAAAATGCGTCGGAGCTCTCGGGGTGACCAGCCTGCTGACTCGAGCGTGCCCGTGCCCGGGGCGAATCCAGGGTCGAGAGTGTCAATGTCGATGCTGAGGTATACGGGCATGCTCCCGACGCGCGTGCGGATGTTGTTGATGATGGCGGGGATGCCGAGATCGTCAATGTCGTCCGAGGTGATGATGTCGAATCCGATCGAGGCGTCGTGTTCGATGTCGTCGTACGAGCCGAGGCGCGTGCGGATACCGGCGTGAATGGACTGGTTGCGTGCAATAAGGCCTTCCAGTGCCGCTTGCCAGAAGAATGTGCCGTGCTGGATCTGGTGCTGTCGCGTGGGCGAACCTGCAGGCGACACCTCAGGAGGCCAGGTGTCGAGGTGTGCGTCAAAGTGAATCACAGCAAGCGGGCCATAGATGCGATGCAGCGAGCGCAGGATGGGCAGGACGATGGTGTGGTCACCACCCATGCTGACGATCTTGGGGTGGGCGCGTGCGTCGTGAGCGAGTCCAGCGTTGGAAAAGGCAGACCAGGCCTCGGACGACACTGCCGATTCGGGCGGCGTGGGGTCGCCGCCAGCTGGACGCACCGACGGGTCGGATGCAGGCACGCGCTGCAGCAGCGAGGTGTAGGCGGCTTCGATCTGGTCGATGGCCAGCGCGGGGTCAAAGCCCGAGGTGGGCACATCGTCGCAGTCGAGGAAGCGCAGTCCCGTGGAATAGGGATCCTGCATGTGGTGCAGCGAAAAGGTGCGTCCTGCTCGCTGGCGTCGACTGGCCTGTCGGATCGCATGCGGGCCAAATCGTGCGCCGGGACGGTAGGTCACCGTGAGGTCGTAGGGGATGCCGAGCACGGCGACGTCGAACAGCTGGTCCGGGTCGCTCAGGCACTTGGCGGTGGGCAGGTGTGCGTACGTGTTGACACCTGCATACGCGGGCTTGGCCACTCCGGCGTACTTGGCCGTCCAGGGATCGGGACCGTCGTTGGGAGGAAACTCGACGAGCGGAATGGGTGCGAATTCGGCCGAGCTGTGCGCGCCTGCGCCATGGTGGTCCTCGTCGAGTCCGGGCGAGTGTGCGTGCGAGCTCACCAGCGTGGCCGCGGCAAGCACTGCCAGCGCACAAAGCGTCGTCTTGCGCATCATGGTTGCTTGAATCCCGGCTAGAGGGGAGGTTGCACTGGCTGAGATGGCGTGTGGAGGCTACAACCTAGTCTAGATGTTGGGAGCGGGTGGAATCGCGGTCGGAACCTCTGCTTTATACGAAGCGGCGCCAAGCTGCGCGGGCCAGACGAGAAGCGGTCATGCGACACCTCGCGAGCCATATTCGCTCAGGGCCTCGTGACTCTGATAAGGTGCAGCCAAGCAGCATCTCCGGGCAAGTTCCGAAATGTGCGGCTGGCTGTCAATGCACCCGAAACCTCGTTAAGCGTCGGGAGGGCTCGTTTAGCTTCGAGGTCCAACCGGCCAGGTCCGTCCGTTCAGGCAGCCGCGAGCCGCCGCGCGTTTCGCCGTTTTTCCATTCTCATTTGGAGCGGATGACGCGGTGTAACACTCTTGCAAACAGCGCCCGCGAAGAAAGCCGAGCTCGGTGAATTCCAGGGCCGCTGCATTTGTTGGTCACTTTGGCTTCGCTCCCTCCCACACGCTCAGTGGCGCTGGAAGAAAGTCTCCCACAGCGGGGTGATGCGGTCTGTGCGGCTGCAGCCAAATGTTCTGAGTTTCCACCGGAAACTCGCTTCCTAGCCTCGTTGGGTCGGCCTAACCTACATTGCCCTCCTCCCACCACCACCACCACCACCACCACCCTTCTCGCATCGGACGCCATGACCGCGGAAGACACCAAGTTCTACTACATCGGCGTCGACGTCGGCACGGGCTCGGCGCGTGCAGCGCTGGTCGACGACGACGGCAACATCCTCGCCGAGTCGACGCACGCCACACAGACGTACCGCGTCGAGGCGGATGCGCGCATCTTTGAGCAGTCGACCACCGACATCTGGGCACAGATCAAGCTCGCCATCACGCAGGTCATCGCCGCCTCCAAAGTCGATCCGGCGCGCATCAAGGGCCTCGGCTTCGACGCCACCTGCTCTCTCGCCGTCACCGACTTTGACGGTCGCCCCATCGCTGTGACTCCGCAGCAGCCATCGTCGAGCGAGTGGGGTATCGGCGAGCGCAACGTAATCCTCTGGGCGGATCATCGTGCCGAGGACGAGGCGGCGCTCATCAACGCCACGGGCTCCAAGGTGCTCAACTACGTCGGCAAGACCATGTCGCTCGAGATGGAGATCCCCAAGATCCTGTGGCTCAAGAAGCACATGCCCGCAGAGCTCTTCAAGCAGTGCATGTTTTTCGATCTGCCCGACTACCTCACCTACCGCGCCACGGGCTCACTCGCACGCAGCAACTGCTCGCTCGTGTGCAAGTGCTCCTACATCCCGCCGGGCGTCGACGGGTCCGAGCTCGGATGGCAGCCCGACTTCTTCGAGCAGATCGGGCTGGGCGAGCTCGTCAAGGATGACTTCAAGCAGCTCGGTGGCGTTCCCGGCCGCAACGGCATGGTGCTCACGGCCGGACAGCCCGTTGGTCAGGGTCTCACTGCCGAGGTGGCTGCAGAGCTCGGACTGCAACCTGGCACGGCGGTGGGTTCAGCGCTCATCGATGCATACGCAGGCTGGGTGGGCACCGTCGCCGCGCCGGCAACGAATGCTGTGGACGAGGCGAGCAACCACCCATCGCTGATCAGCTCGCAGAACCGATTGGCAGCGATCGCTGGTACCAGCACGTGCTACTGTGTCCAGTCGCCCGATGGCATCCTCGTCGACGGCGTCTGGGGCCCGTACAAGCATGCCGTCTTCCCGGGCCTGTGGATGAACGAAGGCGGGCAGTCGTCTACCGGCCAGCTGATTGACTTCATCATCGATACGCATCCTGCGTCGCCGCAGCTGCGCACACTGGCGTCGGAAACCAACCGCTCGCCGTTCACGGTGCTGCACGACAAGATCGACGAGCTGGTCGCAGCCGCTGGTCTGCCCAACGCCTCGTGGCTCACCAAGGACGTGTTTGTGTACCCGGACTTCCATGGCAACCGCTCTCCGCTCGCGGACCCGCAGATGCGCGGCATGATCACGGGGCTCAAGCTCGACCGCAGCCTTACGGACCTGGCCGTGCGATACTACGCCACGCTCGAGGCGATTGCCCTGCAGACGCGCCACATTGTGTCCGAGATGAACGCAAAGGGTCACAAGATCGACGCGATCTACATGAGCGGAGGCCATGTCAAGAACGCAGTGTTCATGCAGCTGATCGCGGATGTATGCGGCATGCCGGTGCAGCTGCCCTTTAGCTCGTCGGCGAGCGTCGTGGCTGGATCGGCAATTCTGGGACGATTCGCTGCGGAGGTTCAGGACCCAAAGACTACCAATGCCTCGGGAACGTATGCGCCCAAGGTGGCAACGACGATCACCGATCAGAAGTCGGCAGAGACCGCATCGTACGAGCACAAGGACCATCTGTGGGACCTCATGGTGCGCATGACCAAGCCGGGCACCCTCGTCTTCCCGCACAAGGACGCCAAGCTCTCGGCACTGCTCGACGTCAAGTACCAGATCTTCCAAGAGTGCATCGCCACCCAGCGCAGGTGGAAGTCGATGGTCGCCGAGGTGCTCAACTAACGTCGTGCCCATGGAATATAGAGGAATGTAACGCTGGAATGTATTGCGAGAATCAGAGCAGCTTAAGATGGCCCGTGAGCTGGTTCATGAGCGAGACGGGTGCCGGGCCGAGGCCGAGCACGGTGCGTGAGTTGGGTGCGATTTGCGTCCGCCCTCTGAGGAATTCGATCCGCACGGTCGCAAGAATGGAGTCAGTCGCGGCACATCTCGGCAAATTGGGGAGGATAAGGGTGTGGAGTACGTACGCATCGATGATGGATCTGGCAGCGATGCCGAGTTCCTTGGCCTTGCTTTCGAGTTCGAGCATTGTGGGTTCGTCGGGGCACTTGACGGCGACTTTTGCCTGTCCGAGCGTCTCCCACTGCTTGACAAAAGCCGGCGTGATCCTCCGTGCGAGCTTGTACACAGCGAGCGTAGCGTGACCGCACTGAGCAGCGATCTTGCCCTTTTCCATCTTGAGGTCCATACGGACGGCGAGGATCATCTTGCACTCTTCGGTTGTGCTGGCGGTAGCATCGTCGAGGTCTTCGTCGTCGGACGAGTCGTCGTCTTGGAGGATGCGGCGCGAGTTGGCGTTGTACGAGACGAGCGAGCGGCCCATGCCGACAAAGTAGCCGATGGTGAGCGAGGCAATGCTCACCGCCACGAGCGTGGGCAGCATGGCTCCGCTGGCTGAAGTGGATATCGACATGGTCACTGTGAGAAGAGGCAGAGTGTGGGATGAGGAGAGTGACAGGTGGAGGTAGTTGCGCAAAAGTGGGTGGAAAGGCGAGAAGAAAAATCGGCCGAAAAAAAGACCGAGGAATGTCACAATCAGAGTGGCGTGCCGTGGGGGGAATTCACAAACCGCTGCGTGGCAACAGCCCGGCAATCTCTGGATGCGCACGAGATCCGCGCTGCACCATCAACCCGTCCCAACTGCAATGCGACTCAGTCGGCATTGTCCTACACAACAATGGGATCAGAAGACATGACTGCAAGCGAGATTGCCGTTGTCTCTGATGCCATGTGTGGCCTGGTTGAATGGCAATCTGCCGATGTGATCGACCGACACGCGAGCGGAGCAGAGGATGCTCAGCGTCGGCGCATTTTGAAATTTGCCGCGTTGCGTCGGTGCCTCGGCAGGCAGGAGAGAGGAGGGAGCGGCGGAGCGAAGGAGAAATTGGCTGAGCAGAAAAGAGAGAGAGAGAGAGAGGTGATGTCGTGTGTGCGTGAGGGTGGGTGTGGAGCAAAGGCACTGGAGCAGTGTCCGAGTGCGAAAATTGCGCGCTCTGCATCATCATCATCATC